TACACTTATACCTCACTGAACTCTGTGCTTCAGAGATGGGTGGTTTTGACATTTAAAAAAATTTTTTTTAACGTTTATTTATTTTTGAGACAGAGAGAGACAGAGCATGAATGGGGGAGGGTCAGAGAGAGAGGGAGACACAGAATCGGAAGCAGGCTCCAGGCTCTGAGCTGCCAGCACAGAGCCCGACGCGGGGCTTGAACTCACAGACTGTGAGATCATGACCCGAGCCGAAGTTGGACGCTTAACCGACTGAGCCACCCAGGTGCCCCAGTTTTGACATTTTTAAATGGTTGGAGAAAAAATAAAAACTAATAATATGTCATGACATATTAAAATTACATGAAAATCAAATTTCTGTATACATAAGTCAAATTTATTGGAATAGAGCTATACACATTTGTTTATATATTATATGTGGTTGCTTTCAAGTTTTGTTAGCAGTTGCGTAGTTTCAGCGAAGACCACATAGCCTGCCACGCCCTGAAGTATTTACTATATGACCCTTTGTAGAAAACGTTTATGTCCCCCTTCCATCACCACTCCTGATGAAATAGTTGAAAATATAAGTTTTCCTAATAATGAAAAATTAGGGTCAGTAAATATATTTTTTAGGAAAGAGAGCATAGCAGATTTATGTATGAGATTATCTTAGTTTTCAAGTGTTAAATTTTCATTAACAAAAGCAATTATAATCTAATATATATTTTTTTCTTTTTAAAAACAGGTTCAGAAACTTAGTCTGGTGGCAGTAAGTAAGTATAAACTTCATCCTGAATTTATTCATGTTTAGTGTCTTTTAAAAATATTAAATTTGGGGGGCACCTGGATGGCTCAGTCCATTAAGCGTCTGACTTTGGCTCAGGTCATGATCTTGTGGTTCGTGAGTTCGAGCCCCATGTTGGGCTCTGTGCTGACAGCTCGAGGCTTGGAGCCTGCTTTGGATTCTGTGTCTTCCTCTCAGTCTGCCCCTCCCTCACTCATGCTCAGTATCACTCTGTCGCTCAAAAATAAATGTTAAAAAAATTTTTTTTAAATATATTAAGTTTTTGTCATTAATTTTAAGACACAGGAATATATAAGAAATTCATTGTGTATTTCTGATAAACTTACATAGTTAAAAAATAAGTTCAGGATAGAATCAGATGTCACATTTAGTTGTCATCTCTTTAGTCTTTTTAAATTTAGAATAGTTCATTAGACTTTGTGTTTCACAGCATTGATATTTTTGAAGAGTATAGGCCAGTTCTTTTATAGAATGTCCTTCAATTTGACCTTTTCTGCTGTTTTCTCATGATTAGATTCAGGTTATGCACTATGGCAAGAATAACAAAGAAATAATTCAGAATTCTCAGTGAATTTTATTAGCAGGCACATGCTGTTGATTGGTTCTATTCCTGGCAGTGGTAACTTTGATCATTTTATTAAGGTAAGATTTGTCAGGAGGCTCCATTTTAAAGTTTTACTCTGTAATTAATAAGTATCTTGTGGTTAGATACAGTGAGACAGTGTAAATATCCTGTTACTTTTGAGAGTTTTACCCACCGTTTTGTCACTTAGTGATGGTACTTGCCTGAACCAGTTATTAGAATGATGATTACCAAATAGTGATTTTCGGGTTCCATCATTCCTTCTACTGTAAGGAAGGGTTTTCCCTTTTCCTACGTTTTGATACTTTTCCAATAGAAGGAAAATTTATTTTTTTGGAAACCATTTTACAGAATAAAGGGCCTGCCAAGGCTGAGAGATTGTAGTATAACCATGAAATGTGATCTTTGTAACAGAAACAGAGGAGAGCTATAAGGAACCTAGTGTATGTGTCTGATTAACTTAAAATTTTAAAACGATTATAGAAGGGCACTATAACCTAAGTTGAATACAAAGTGATTAATAAACCTATGAAAATAGTATTTGGGGAATGAAATTTTTTTTTAAGTTTTATTTTGTTTATTTTGAGAGAGAGCAGGCGAGCACGGGTGTGGGGGAGGGGCAGAGAGAGGGAGAGAGAGAACCCCAAGCAGGCTCTGCACTGTCAGTACAGAGCCCAGTGTGGGGCTTGAGCTCACGAACCGTGAGATCATGATCTGGGCTAAGATCAAGAGTCAGACGCTTAACAGACTGGGCCACCCAGATGTCCTGGGAATGAAATCTAAAAGTAGAATATGCAGCATGAAAAATACTTAAAACAATCATCTATCTTCTAACTCTCCTGCCCCTAAAACAAGGAATAAAAAGAAAAGGCCAATGTGACCATGATAGAGAGGAATAAAGAAATCATATCGTGTGAGAAATGGCTAGAGGTGATAGGCATATTTGCCTTGGAGAAGACTGAGTAGATAACTGTATTGTTCATTTAAAGGGTCAGGATTTAGAGTATCATAGGGAATTTTTCTGAGGTTTTCCCAAAGCATAGACTTAAATAGGGGTTAGGTCTTGATTTACTTTAAAAATTTTCCTAGAGTTATAAGTAAATGTGACATTCCTGAAGGCATTTACATGAAGGGTTGATAACTATCTGCCAGTTTTTTATGTGAAGTGTGATTTTTTTCCAAATAACTTCAAAAAGCTTTTCATTTCTTTAGGATTACATTTTAATGTCTGTAAATATTAGATTTTAATTCTCTTAGGGAAGATCAGGTGATTTAATATTCTCAGTCTGGTAGTTATTATTAGAAGTATAAAGTAACATTGAAGTCAAGTTTATACCGATTATTAGTTTTTATTCATGTATCTACACATAGATACATATTTAAAAAAATTTTTTTTTTCAACGTTTATTTATTTTTGGGACAGAGAGAGACAGAGCATGAACGGGGGAGGGGCAGAGAGAGAGGGAGACACAGAATCGGAAGCAGGCTCCAGGCTCTGAGCCATCAGCCCAGAGCCTGACGCGGGGCTCGAACTCACGGACCGCGAGATCGTGACCTGGCTGAAGTCGGACGCTTAACCGACTGCGCCACCCAGGCGCCCCTTTATTTTTTAATTATAGCCATGAAAAATGGTATATGTATACTTGAGATTTCTATCTGTGCCAAGATCTTACAATTTCTTATTTCTTTTATATTGTCTTTTACCTAGGTAACTCTGTCCCACAGGATATCTGCTGTATGGCAGCTGATGGGAGGCTAGTCTTTGCTGCTTATGGGAATGTTTTCTCTGCATTTGCCCGTAATAAAGAGGTTTGTATCACTGAACTATTTTAATGTGTTTTTTGCAGTTAATAGTTAATTGTAGTGAAAGTGGAGGGAACTTTAATGTTGCTGTTCTTCTACTAGAATGCTCTGGACATGTACTTGTTTTATTTTAAACATTTATCTGGTTTTCTGGAGGAAGAGAAAGTTGATTTAATCAAATTTTCAAAATTAGTTAAAACTGGCACTTCAGTTTTCTTCATCAGGGTTGAACATCAGAATTATTTGGGCAGCTTCTTCAAAATTTTCCTGCCCAGTTGGGTCTCATATCCTGAGCTTTCTACTTTGTATTTTTGGGTTGGGTAGGATTTAGAAAATACTTTTGAAAATGCTTTCCCAGGAGATTGTTTTTTTTTTCCCTTTTTTTTTTTTT